AGTGCGCACTTGCGGTCCATTCACATTGCAGACATCACATGGTTCTGTCTCCGCCCCAGCGGGCCCCAGCGGCAAAGCAGGCTAAGTGTAGGCAGACTTTCGACAGCGCCTGGGTCCCCCACAGCGGGCCTCCCTGGGGTGGGCCAATTTGAGCAGGGTGGCGGGCGGGGGGCTGGCTGGGGTGGGGGCACGGGGTCAGACGTGTGGCCGGTTTTCCCTTGTAGAGAAGGCCTCCCCTGGCTGCTCAGGTGTGGAGACTCCAGAACTCTCTCCCATCCAGGAGTCCCCCATCGGCAACGTCCGGTGGGGGAGGGCTGGCTCTGGGTTTCCGGATGCCCGGGATGTCTATGTTGGACACCAGTCAGCCAGCAGCGGCCCAATCCCAGCACCCTGAGACGGGAGAGTGCTTGGAAGGGAAAAGTCAAAACCAGGGCGTGCTTCCCCCAAAGCGGAGACACAGATGATCTTGGTCTCCCGAGACGCTCCCCACCTCCGGCTGCCGGGAGCGTGACAAGCCCCCGCTGGCTGTTTCCCATGGTGGCCGGTCTACTCAGGCTGGGGTCTGCGGGGCAGGGGGAGTAGAGGGGGTCTCCGGACCAAGAAGGCCTTTCTAGAGCTGTCCACACCTGAGGTCACAGGGCTTGCCAAGGGCAGAGGGTAGAAAAAGTCCCAACAAAGAAGCCCAAGGAAACAGAGAAAAACTTCTTTTTACAAAAAGAAACAAAAAACACCACCAACAAAAATCTCTTGGCTCAGTACAGTGGGGTTGTCTGTTGTTAACTTGGTTCGGTTTCCAAAACCCGATTGATAAATGCCAAAGCAATCCGCTGCTGCCATAGCCGATGGGGGCAAACCCCGAGGAGGGGGGGTGCAGAGGGGACACAAAGAAAAGGGTTTTGCCTACCTACGGAGCAACGAGCCAGGCTCGCACCCAAGCTCAGTGACCCGCTGCGCCGTCTGCCCTACTCCCAGCCTTCGCTTTGCGTCCAGAGTGCAGCGTGAGAGCAAATGCAAGAGACCAAAACAGACATTCAAAGCATCATGGGTAGGGATCAAGGGTGAAGGTATGGTCAAGCTGCTGGGAGGAGAGAGCAGACACTAGAAAGCCAAGCAGTCAGGTGTTTTAGTACCGGATGTCAGAAGTCCCTATTACCCAAATATCCCTGTCAAGACCTCACCAGCTGGTGTGCGCAGCAAGGCCCATCCCCTCCCCCTATCTGGGCTCTCTCCACGGCTGCATCCGGCCTGGTCTGAGGGCCCCTGGCTCCCTCTGCCCACTCTGGGCCAACGGCCCCTTGCGAAGAGATCGGAGCGGGAGGGGCTGCCTGCTTCTCTACAGGATCTGAGCTGGGGCAGGAGAGCTTAAAAACATGGAAGCTGGAACTTTGGCTTTAAAGGGGAGGAGCCCGGGGAGGAAAGGAAGGGGTCAGGGAAGGAGGGAGAATGATGAACCAGCCAGACTGGTCTGCAGAGGCCAGGGCTGAGGGAGGCCCGGCAAAGGAGGCTGACTGATCGGTTAGTGGCCTCCCCCCGAGGCCCAGACTGAGGGCAGCAGCACAGCAGAGTCCCAAGGGCACCTGGCCCCCTGCTGTGCCGTCTCCTGGTCACCCAAAACGGATGTGGGCCAATCAGGACGAGGGGCGTGGGCAGGGAGAAGGCGGACCAGGAACGAAATCAGGGTAGAGTCCAGCCCCAGGGCCCAAGCCAGTTCCCGTCCAGGTTGGCCTCTACGTGTCTGGGCCTCACTCAGGGAGCGTGGGGTCCGGGCTCTGGAAATCCCTGAAGGGGGGGTCCACCCTGAAGCAAATGCTAAAGTAGGGTGAGGAAACACTTAGGGATCCTCTGGCTCCCCTGCCGCCCCTGGGACACACCTAACCACCCGGGCAAAGTCAGAGCCAGGGTGTTCGCAGGGGTCACTGAACCCCACCCTCTCTTCACAAGTGAGGCGAATGAGGTTCCCCGGGCTGGGCCGGGGTGCCAGCAGACCAGGCCTGTGGGCTCCTAGGCCAGTGCTCCCGCCGAAGCCTGAGCCCCGCCGCTCAACACGGCAATGAGGCCCACGCTTTCACATCTCACAACAAAACTCGGGGCAGCAAATGGTCTTGACCCTGCACTGCCTACATGCCCTTTAAAACAGAAATATGTGTTAGGAAACGAGTGTTCGTATTTTTAAACCGCTGTTACGCAGGAACAGAGCTTTAAGAAAATAAAAAAACAAACGAGCAGCTAAAAAAAATAAAATAAAATAAAAAAAAAAGGAAGAAAGATGAAGCTGGAGGTGAACGCAGCTGACTTTCGATCTGAAGAATGAAACGCATGCCAAGAGCTACCGGGGACATCTGAATAGAAAAGAGCGGCAGACTGCACACCCCAGCTCTGCCCCTTGGTGGGGGGGGAGGGGCGGGGGGGGAGGGGAAGGAGGGACAAAATGGGGGGAGCAGCAACCTAACGGTCTAGTAAGGACACAGCAAGAGAGACAAGGCACACGGGTTTAGTTAAAAATGAACTCGGTATGTTTAATAAAGCTTGGTATTACCAAAATCGCGGTACAAACATCAAGTCACACGCCCACACGACAGAATTCCATTTACAAAATGTCCCTCGGAGGCCTCCTCCGGGTCCGCGCCCGAGAGCGCCCAACCCAGGCCTGCGGTCTAGGGGGCAGAGGAGGCGAGGAGGAGGGCAGAGGGGGAGAATGGACAGGGGTGGAGACTAAAAACAGTCCATATAAGAGCTCAAAAAGAGCCAGGCCGTGGCGTTATCACAATGATACAGGTACAGGTAAGAACAAAAATAAAGACTCAGGCGGATACAGCAGGCTACGCTGCCAAGAACCAAGACGGCCGCCCTTCCCGAGGCGTCCCAGACGGGCCACCTCTGCCCGCCATCTCCTGCCATCTCCTGCGTGCTCGCTCGCTCGCTCGCGCTCGCTCTCTCGCGCTCTCTCTCACTCACTCTCTCGCTAGGAAACACGGAAGGTATTTTGTGTTTGGAGCTAGTAACCTTGGTCAAACGAGTCCTCCGAGGAATCGCTGAAGGAGGATCGGGCCTCGACCTCTCGAAGCAGCAAACAAAAGGGCTGCTTCCTGCCGGCAGCCGGCTTGGGTTTGAGAGTCCGGGCGGCCGCCAGGCCCCGCTCGCTCAGCTTGGGGCCCCCGGCCGGCTTGCCGTTCTTTGCCACCATGCCACACAGGATGGAGGACGTCAGTTTGGAGCTGGACGGGCCTTGGGCAGACCACTCGTCCTTCAGGAATCCTTCGTCTTCCTCTGAGTCCGTATCTGCAGTCAAAGTAGTTTTTGACACAGTAAGTCATGGGGTGCTGGGCGGGGAAGGGCTGGCGTCTCTCGCTACTAGCGGTTTCGAGAAGGCCCTGGCGCGTGCTAGGGCAGAGAGGTCCAAACGCCCACTGGCTGCGGAACAAGCCGTGCCCCACCGCCTGGACCTCTCGCCTCTCGCCCGGGAGGCCTCCAAGCCGCAGGCATCACAGAGCTTGTCCTGTCCGGGCTGGCTGCTGCCGGCCCCGCCCACCAGACAGCCACTTCTGCCAAGGCCTTTCCGGGCCCTGGGGGGGAGGCAGGAGCCCCACACTCGTGAGGGTCTCGCCCGTGGTCATGGAGGTCACTGCACCCAGCACGTGGGGACATGGGGAGGGACAAGGCCCAAGAAAGGAAGGGCCCCGGTAAAGCTCTTCTCCCCCAGAATACCCGTTTGCCCCGGCACAGGGTGGCACAGGCAGGCTCACAACGACAATCACGCACGCGCACCCCAACTCCCCGCCCAGCAGCATCCCAAAGGCGCGTCGAGATGGGCCATCGTGAAAGCGGTTGCGCCAAGGAAACTGGCAAATGACGGGACAACTCAAGGCTTCCCCCCAACTTTTTCCTATCGAAGGGCCGGGCTGCCAGCACACTGCTGCTGGCTTCCCTGTCTCCGGCCTCACCGTGCAGGTGAGGTCAGGGTTCCCAAGCTCTCCCAGGAGAGGATCCCCCAGCTTTGGGGAGGGGGGGGTGCCACGGTCAAGCAGGCACAGCTCTGGCCCCTTCCAAGCCCATCCCAAGCAAGAATTCATTGGAAGAAAGGGCTCTGCAGCCAGAAACTATAACCTCTTGATCTGATAAAATCCACTCGGAACAAGAGGAACACTAACAGAGACACAGCTCTGGCAGCACCTGCCACCTGCAAGTCCACAAGAAAACTATACGCGTCGGGCGCAGGAGGCGAGGGGGACGCAGCGTCCGCTGGCTGCCTCCTCCTCTACCTGGGCTTTCCACGTCAAGACCCCAACGGCAGGATGGCCTCCAAACTCCAGGCAGAGCTAGGACAAAGACAAGCCCCACCAGGCCCCTGCCCATCGTTCCCAAGGCCGCATCCCAGGCCAGAGCCACTCGTGGGTGACGACAACCGAATCGGCTTCCCACCAGGCATGTCCCCGACCCCTACAACCCAAGAGTTGTAAAACCCCAAAGCGAGAAAGAGAAGAACGTTCTGTTCTCTCCTCCCATCTCCTGCCAGCCATCCCTGTGCTAGAAAACACTCTTGTCCTCTTTGTGACCGTGTACTCTGCTTACCTAGAACCGCGGAAAAGCCAACATAAAAAATACAAACGAGGGCCCTCTCCAGATCCAGCCGCATATCAGAGCCAGCATCTAGTTGGAGTCAGACCTTTAGACCTGTATGTTGCAACGTTTACTCACTTCTCACCTGGACGATGGAATTTAGGCACAGACCCAACAGCTAGACTAGCAACCAGAACATCGCTTTGTGCACGCACACACGTGCGCACAGCAGACTCACTGGCTCAGAGCACGCCAAACATCTCAGCGGCTGAACCGATCTCTGGTCTCTAAATGTACCCCAACCACCTAGAAGTGGGAAGGTACAGGATTCTTACCTGGCAACCAGCCAGGCGACACCCAGCGGCCACTCACCCTTGAAACATAAGAGCCGCAGCAATGCTCCCCACTCCCCCCATCGTTCCAAAACCGGCAGAGATACAAACAGCAGAGGAAAACCCTTCTTCCCTCTTCCTCCAGAGCTAGGAGTTTCTGGTATGAGCTCATGGTGGCCACGGGCCTGGGCACTCTTGCTCGGATCATACCCATTACCACCGGAGGGCCATCAAAGCTATCGCAATCGAGCATGTCCTGGGCACATAAGCCACAAAGGCGCTGTTTACTTCACACACGTCTCTGCATCAGCCCTAGAAACCCTTCAGTCCACAGCAACCAAAACCACGAACATTAAAACATACACACACGTATGCACACGCATGCGCGCGCGTCAAGCTCTTCACCGACGTGAACTCGCTTAAAGTTCAGGACAGCCATGGGAAGCAGACGATGATAACCCCATGTCCACAAAACTTTATTTCCTTTCCTTAAGAAAACAAACGTTCTAATAACATTACAAGTGTCCGCTTTCTTGTACGTGACGTTCAACCGCTGCCCTCCGACACCTCATGTACCACGCAGAGTCAATCAAGAGCCTAGACGCACACAGCCAGGCAGTCGTCAAGGGGAAAAGCCGCCCACCCCAGTCGGAGCCTGGGGACTCCCAAAACAAACCCCGCGGACAACTGCCAGGAGCCACGAAGCCCCGCCTGGCTCTCCTGCGGCGGCCACACGCTTGGCGCGCATCGGTCCTGGGCACTAGGGGCTCGACCCACACACACACCACGCAGCGGCCTCGGGGCCCCTGGAGAGCCGGGCGGGCGGGCCCAAGGCCCAAGGCCCACCGCCCAGGTAAGGAACTCCGATGCGGCAGGCTCCGGGCCAGTGCGAGACCGCTCAGCCCCTCCGCGGCTGCACTCCCAGGCTCCACAGCTCCCGTCCTGGGAGCCGAGCCATCCGGGCCCCGCCAACTCCCCACCCCTGGCGGTCAACCTCGCCCGGCCTCGGCCTCCACCCTCGGGAACAACGCGGGGCAGCCACCTGGAGGACTGTCTTTGTCGAAAACAAAGCGAAACACGGCCCGCACAGCCCTCGGTGCGCCGACCAGCACGGCGCCCGCTCCACGGACACCGTTCCTCTGAATCTCCGGCCCCAGGACAGAAAGCCGCCTGTGGGCAGGGGAGACGGACTCCTCTCTATGGTCGTCGCGAGCGACCGCTCTAGGCCCAGCGGCCGCCAACTCGGTGGCGCAAAGCCTCCCACACTGACGGCTTCCCCGCGAACAAGCGGAGGGCCGGTACACGAGGGCAGGCGGACTTCCGCTCCCACCTGCCTATCACGGGCGCCCGCCAATCACAGGCACTTCTGCTTTAGGCACCCACCCCCACCCCACGCACGCACTTCCGGCCTGGAGCCCGCGCAAAAGCAGGACTCGTTCGAGCGCCCACGAGATGCGGAGAGAGGAGACTGAGGAGAGGAAATGCCCCGAGGCGGCGCGGCGTCCGCTACTTACTGTAGGAGTAGCTGCTCACTTCCGAGGCGAACGGGGAGTGGGCCGACTTGGGCTGGCCTCTGGCCTTGAAGCCCACCTCCATCTTCCTGGCTTTGGCGGCCCTTTTGTGTTTACCTTCTCTGGAGGCTTTGAGAGACAGGCTGAGGCCTTTGGCCAGCGCCTTCCGGTCCTTGCCCAGCAGGCTGTCATAGGGCGTCAAGTACCTGCCGCAGCCCCCGCTCGCTTTGGACTTCCCTCCAGAACTGTCCGAGAACTTGAAGGGCGACTTCAACTTGTCCTGCTTCGTGAGGGAGAGGGCCTTGTCCAGCTTGCTTGCCAGCTGCTCCTGGTCACTGGCCATCTTCTTCTTTTTAATCTTTAGCTGGAGAGGGAAGTTGGGGAGTCACGGGTTAAGACGTTTGGCAAAACAGGATCGTGTGTTTCGGTGCCCGGGCTGTGCCGAAGCTGGGCTCCGGTCCTTTCCTCCTGCCCCTGTGGCTTCTAGCAAGCTGCTCACCTCCTCTTAGCCTCAATTCTTCTGCTCTGTAAATCGGCGATAATTATGTATGGGCATCTTGGGGGTTTTTCTGAAGATGAACAAGATCAGGCCCACAAAGCTTTTATCACAGAGCTGTTACTGCGGTTACGGTTCTCATGAACACTGGCATTTCCACTGGCTTTGCCTGGCGCTATCTGGTGCCTCCTAGGGAAGCCCTTCCAGCAGGCAGCACAGCCCATGAGCAGAAGGCAGCTGGATTAGGTCAGAGGCATGGAACCGAGATGGAAAACCCAGGTCATACCATGGATTCCCACCTAAAGCAGCCCATCCAACTAAATGGGCCTAGCCGACAAGAGAACGCCCTACGAGCGTGCCCTGGATGCCTGAAGCAGAAAGCGCGACTCAAGATTTCACAGATTAAATTCCTGGTTCCAAGTCTGCTGTAGTCACTCATTGTCAAAGGGAAATGTGCAGTTTCAAAGCCGTTAATGCCCCTCATTTGAACGTTTTGTCTCTATTTTTCTTGAATCAGGTAATCTATTGTAAGGCGGGGGATAGTTGGGATAGGGCCATTTAAACAACAAAAGTATCCTTCACAATTTGTGAATAAAGGATGCTGATCTACAAACTGGCTCTATTCCCTCCTCCTGGATGCAATCCCCCTTACGTGTGTTATTTTGCTCTGATGGCCAAATCAACATACAGCCCCTTGCATGGGGCCTTATGGGGAAAGATGACAAGGTACATTAGTATTTAGAGACAAGGGCCTTAAGTGGCCGATTTCAATGCTCTGCAGAAATCAGAAAAATCAAGGAGCTGGCTCTCACCCCATTACCTCTGGAGAGTTCACAAGGAAATTACGATGGGATCAAGCCCTTGCTTCTGAGAACTACAGAATGGTGAAGCTGCTCGTTGAACAATTACACTGTTAAACAATAGTAACTGTGTTATCTGGTTAAGAACTTGCAATCTCTCTTCCTGGCTTCAGCAAAGGGTCACCGAGCACGCATGGGGGGTGGGGGGGAGTGGCTTTCCGTCTCCGCTCTACCTGAGGCTGTGCTACTCTGGTTAAGTCTCTGACCCCTGGGCCTGGATTTTCTCCTCTGTGCAATAAGGAAGACTAGAGGACAGCCCTTCTGGCACTAAGACAATCATCTCTATAGTGTCTGTGCAGCAGGTGGGGCCAACAGACCTGCAAAGGGAGCGTGAACTCTGGCACACCCTGCAGACCTTCCACTCTAAGATGGCAGCATCTCTGGAACACAGAGTTACTGACCTGACTCATGAAGTCCGACGAGGCTTCGTGCTCGTCCCAAGGCTGGTTCCTGCCCCTAGCTTTCCCTGTTCCAACCAGGGCATCGTGTTCCTCCTCAGGTCCCTTGTGTCTCTTCCTCATCCCTGCTCCAAGCTCGTATTCATCCGACGTCAGCAGGGGCTTGCTGCTCAGCCTGAAACCCAGATGCACTGCTGGTCAGCACGCTGGCCAGGAAAGACTCAAGGGTTGGGGGTCCGCCCTCACAGCCCTGAAGGGTGGGCTCTGGATGTCGAAGCACAGACAGTGATGGCAGAGTGACGAATCTGGGGAGACGGATCCTGTAAAACTATGGTGCTGGGATTCTATTTGTGAGTGGGGCAGAATGAGAGTTTAACCGGAAAGAAGAAACACTTCTCCAAGGCAGTATCCTCTGCTGGCCTCTTTCTTGTGCTTCTTCACACATACACTCACACACACACCTTATCAAAACATGCCAAGAGTAAAGATCAGAAATGTCCAAGAAATCCCCCAGGATTGGAAGGGGAGTAAGAGCCACTGGCTGGTCTCCTGCACCCCTGGGATTAAGACAGTCGGGACACGGTCCTAGGTTGAAGGCTTCTCTTGCCTACTTTAAGCTAAACCCTCACAAGTAATAAAAGCAGCTAATTTTTACTTGGTGCTTACTATGTGTTCTGTTCTGGGTTAGCGTTTGATACTTTAGCCACAAAACAATGTTCCACGTCCTGTTTTTACACGTGGGGAATGGAGCTGGGACTCACAAGTAGGAACAGACGCCCACCTCCAGAGGCTGTGCTCCTAACCAGTGGCTGTGTGCTGGCGGCCCAGCCCCTGTGGTTTCGGGAACTGCTTCCCTACCCTCCTTTGGCTGGTTTTAGGGGATTTCTTCCTCTTTCCATCCTCTCCTCAAACAGGAACATCCAAGGAGGACAAATCCAAGTCGTGGGGACGCGTGGGGTGATCTGACAAGCCCTGTGGCCGATCCACTGCCTCTCCTGCGCCTTTTAGGGGCACCCTGTGGCCCCTCTGCTTCCTCAAGCCAAGCACCAGGCCACCTACTGTCTGCCCTGCTCCGATGTCCCAGGCTGGGGCACACTCCAACCCCGCTCTTTTGATGGGCCTCATTGAGCTCCTGCTACTCCATGACACCCAGGGAAGACCGCAGCATCATTCCTGCCCACGCTCAGCCTGGAGGAAGAGCTCTCATCCCAGCCACCATTCAAGAAAACCTCCAGAGACGCCACGCGTCGCTCCTGCTGCCGCTCAAGGAGTGTGCAAAGGAGCGGCCCCGGGTCACAGGCTCGGGCACGACAAGCCAACAGGTCAGACCAGGAGGACAAGAGTGACGACGTCAGTCACGGAGGCAAGTAAGTGACAGCACAAGTCAGAACCCGTCCCAGGGGGCTGGAAGCTCAGCGGATCCCTCTGCAGGGAGGAGGTGTACGGAGAAGAGCAGGAATTCGTCCCTAACCGTGGAGAAAGCAGGTGTGGCGGGAAGACGGGCGAGGCACTTAGCTCACGGCACAGAAACCTCTCTCACTGGGGTCACCTGCCCACTCAGTGCCGGGTGGATGAGTCTGCCTGTCCGTTCCGCCACTCGCCCGGCTCGCCCTCCTGGCCCGGGCGGCGCGCACCGTGCTCCCTGAGAGCTACCAAACCAGGTGGGTCGGAGCCCGAGGGACTCGAGGTCCCCGGTGCCCAGACGCAGGCCCTGTGTGGGCCTGTGCTCCTCCCCTCCGAGCTCTGTGCCAGTTCCCGACCCACCGAGGGGCCAGCCTTACTTTCCGCTACTGTTGCGGCTCTTCCCTCTCTTGCGGGGGGGCGACAGGGTGCTCAGGGCGTGGGTCCGTTTCCTCGGCCTGCCAGGGCCTCTGCGTGCCAAGCTTCTATGGGGTTCCTCGCGCCTGTCCCTTAAAAAGAATCACACGCTCGGCTGTGAACCTGGGGGGTGGGGGGGGCGCGGAGAAGGACATACGATGCACACACGTCACTCGGGTCCACACACACCTCTAATGGCCTACCACAGCCAACCTACTGAGCGCCAGCGCCTACGAGAGCCCAACCAGGGCGCCGCCTGCCGCGGCCTTGTCGCCCGGCCGGCCGGGGCCGCGGGGTATGGCTGGGGTGCGGCCGGGGTGCACACTCACTCGGAGTCGCGGCGTCTCTGCAGCTTCACCAGCTCTCGCTGCTTCTCCTTGTACCGCCGCTGGACCTCAGCCAGCCGCATCCGGAAGTCCAGCTCCATGGCATCCATGCTTTCCAAGGAGGACTTCATGGCATACATCTGCGGGGAGAGCGGGGTAAGGATGCCAACGCCCACCGGCTCCCACCACCCGGCCAGGCATCCGCTCAGATGGGAGCGGCGAGGCCTGATGGTGACCGGGGCCCAGCTCACGCCTCACCTGCCACTTCACTAGCCCTGGCCGTGGGCAGAACGCGGGACGGGGACCAAAACTCAACTCTGCAGGGCCGCGTCAAGGCCGAAGCGGCCCGAGACAGCCGCTCCCAACGGTGTGGGCCATCGTGTTACCCATCGCTTACAGAGGCCCACAGGCACCAAGGGGCACAGCCAGGCCTGCTCTTCCTGACCCGTCAGGCGGTCGCCCGTAATCACGTGGATAAACTGAGACCCAGAAAGGGGATACGGCTTGCCCAGGACCGCACGGCAAGTCAGCGGTGGAACCTGGACTCAGATCAGGCCCTTTCAACTCCAAAGTCAGCCATGTCCCCAGGAAGATGCAGTCTCTGGGGGACCCATCTCTGCTCCCACCCCACGGGCCACAGGCAGGCAAAGACAGGCCCGGGACACCTCACCCGCTCCTCCTTCTTCTGCATCCAGCTATACTTCTTGTTGGGGTTCAGCTCCCGCGGAAGCCGCAGGTTCTTGAGCGGGTCCACGAAGGGACTGTCCAGCACCTCCTTCAGCATGTGGCTGCTGGCCGCCAGCAGGCTCTCCAGCGAGGGCCGCACCACCGGGCCCCGCTCTGCACCTGCACATAGGAGGCAGGTGAGCCCACGCCTCTGTGCCCGCCCCGCCGTGCTCCCTGGGGGCAGCCCACCCCACTCAGACCCCAAACAGGGAGAAGAACGAGCCCAGGACCAGCTCAGGGCCTGCCCGAGGCCACATGGCCCCCACGATGCTGACGGGACCCCGGCCTTGCCGAGAGCCAAGAAATGGTGCTAAGTGAAGAGAACAGGCAGAAGCCGGGGCACACAGCACGGCTCTGTTCCAAACGTCCACTGCCGCACAGAGAAAATGGCCACGAGCGGCCAAGCGCCCACAGAGGTGCGTTCTGGGCTGTGCCTCTTTCTGCTCATCTGTCCTTTAAACTTGCCACAGGGAATATGCATGGTTTTCATATTCAGGAAGAAAAGGGCCCAAATCAAGTTTCATAAACTGCAAAAGCAGTAGGAGAACACAAAAAAGATAAACGAAGCAGAAAGGTGCGAAGAAACGAAAACCTTCCCCGCCCCAGCACAAAGCTGGCCCCGCCACCAGAGGCACCACTCTCGACATTCTGGTAGAGGGCTCCAAAAATACCGATCCCCACTCGAACACACGCAACGTCCGTGGGCATCCTTCGTAAATATGCGAACAGCATCAACGCATACATACGGTATCACACCTTTTTCCACCTACCCTCTTTTCACGGTAGCGCATGACAGCAATCTACCACATGTCGTTAGCTTGGACCTTATGAATTATAACTGCCATTTCTACAGGTCAGCAACTTTTATGTGGCCAAACCCAGTAACAACTGCCTAGAGTTCTCTTGCATTGCTCAGTTTTAATTAATCTAAATAATCCCCCATTAAACGGCATTTCTTTTTTTTCTTTTTGTTTTGTTGGGGGGGGGGTGGGTAGTGGAGGCATAGGCACACAGCAAGGACACGTGTTTCAGGAAAATTCCTCTCTGTGATTAACACGATTAAGGTATGTGCATTTATCTGATAAATATTCCCACTACCCTTCAGAAATGGCACGCCACCCATCTCCCCTCCAGTCTCTCCCAGAGTAACAGTTTTCTTTTTTAATTGGCGTTGTCTTTGTGATCTAATATGTGATCAGTTTTTATGAATGTTCCACACATGCCTGAGAAAAAAAAAATATTTAAAAAAAATTTTTTTTAGTGTTTATTAATTTTCGACAGAGAAGGATGGAGCATGAGCAGGGGGGTGCGTAGAGAAAAGGGACACAGGATCCGAAGCAGGCTTCCGGCTCTGAGATGTCAGCAAAGGGCCCGACGCGGGGCTCGAACTCCCAAACCTCGAGATCATGATCTGAGCTGAAGTCGGATGTTTAACTGACCGAGCCACCCAGGCGCCCTCAAAGCATATTCTTTACTATCGACGCGTGCAGTTCCATAAAACAGACATCACTGATGGTCTCGCATAGATCAGGGCTTCTCGACCTTGGCGCTATGCACGTTTTGGTCAGCTCATCCTCTGCAATGGGGGCAGCCATCCTGGGCATGCGCTGTAGGAGGTTCAACAGCATCCCCTGCCTTTCCCCACTAGATGTCAGCAGTACTCCCCCAAGCTGCGACAACCAAACGGGTCACTGCCAGTTGAGAAACAGCGGTTTTGCTCTTACAGGCACAGAGGCTGCACAGCAGTGAACCCCATCAGCTCACGAGGGCCCACCCCGAGGTGACGCCTCTGCACCAGACCACCCCTCAAGGTCGTCCGAACCGGAAGATTCTCAGTGGTTGGGTAAGGCAGGAGAGCACCGCTCCATCACAGAGGAGGGGACCGAGGTGCAGCTTCTGTCACCTCCTTCACCTTCCAAACCAGTCTGGCTGAGGCTCTCACAACTGAGGCCAGGGAGCCTGGTGACTCTAGGCCATCTGCTACGGGATGTATCATGCCCAACCCCCCCCCCCCCCCACGCCATCCACACATTTAAGTTCTGACCCTAGTATTTCAGAAAGTGATCTTATTTGCAGTCTCTACAGAGGACACCAAGTTAAAGTGACCAGATGAGCCCTAATCCAGTAGGACTATTTCTCTATAGAAAGGGGAAAGCTGGAGACAAGCACGGAGGCAACCGGGCGAGGACACGGGGAGAAGACGGCGTCCACGTGCCAGGAAAGAGGCCTCAGCAGGACCCAGCCCTGCCCACACAGTGGTCTAGAACATCCAGACGCCCCCCAGTCTGTGGTACTTGTGACAGAAGGCCTGGCTGACACACAGCCTCATGGCTGTACCAATGCAGGGGCGACCTGTGGGCCGTGGGAAGCTCGACGGGCGACCAGGGGCCTCTTCAGCGTTCCATCGGCAGCTGCCTGCTGGGTAGAGAAGAGGGCCGCCAGCCTCTCCCTCACCCTTGCTATGTACACACCCCTGCACACCAGCACCTCCAAGTGTGCTTTCCAGCCCAGGGTCACAGATCCAGCCGCGGGCCACACTTCCAATGCAGAAACCAGCTGTGGGTCCCAAAACCTCCTCCCGCTGCTTCCTGCAAAGTCTGCCCTTCCAGCGGCTCAGGCTACAAACCTCGGAGTCGCTCTTACACCAGCTCGCAGCTGGCAAAGCCCTCTGGCTGCTCCACCTTAACTTCTACCCAGAATCCTCTTGCTCCTCACCTCTACCCACCACCCCAGGGCCTGGGCCTTCCTGCATCCCCCCTTGCCTCTGCGTCAAGTGTCTACACAGCCCCCCAAAATGACACTATTTAAGTCCGATCCTATCACTGTAACTCCAAGCCCTCCTCCAGTGGGTGCCCAGGGCCCCATGCCCACCTCCTCCCACCAACCCCCTGGTGGCCACCACTCTCCTCCTCCCACTCCACCCCAGCCCCAGCCTCCTTGCTCTGGTTCCAACGTGCTACACGTACTGTTGACCTCAGGGCCTTTGCAGGTGCTGTTCCATCAGCAAATCCCCCAGAAGAGTTCCTCCCTGGCCTTCCTTGGGTCACTTCACCCAGAAGCGCCTCCCTCTGTAAGAGACCACCCTTCCCTCCTCCATCCTGTCCCCCTCCCAGTGTCTCCACCTACCACCTATCACCACCTGACAGGGCCAAGGGCTATGCTCTGTGGCCCTCACGGAAAACCCACCAACTGTTGGTAGGATCAAGAGGGGGTTTGTCGCTTTCCAAAAAATAATTTTTTGTGCCAAACTATTTAAATGAGTGAAAAGAAGTAAGGAACTGGAGAACAAGAACCAAACAACAGACAGCTGTGGGGTGTGGGGGAGTGGGCATCACTTGTCCAAGCTTCCGGGGGACCATGTGACCATGGCAATAAAAAAAGCTTTGAAAATGTGATTTTGTTCGGTCCCAGCAATTCCACCCCTGAGAATATACCCCCAGGAATGTCAGCGGTGTGGACAAAGATTTGTCACTTTAGTTACAACAATAAAACAAAACCAAAGGCAAACTCAAATGCCTAACAACCTAGGGCCAGCTAAGGCATTGAAGGCTGGGGCCTCCACCTTCAATGGAAAACTCGACCGTCCCCTAAGAAAATGTTTAAGGCATTGAAGGCTGGGGCCTCCACCTTCAATGGAAAACTCGACCGTCCCCTAAGAAAATGTTTAAAGACCCAGAGCTTTGGGGTGCCTAGGTGGCTCAGTGGTCAAGCATCCAACTTGGGCTCAGGTCATCATCTTGAAGTTTGTGAGTCCGAGCCCCACGATGGGCAGCACGGAGCCTGCTTGGGATTCTCTTTCTCCCCATGTCTTGTCTCTCCTCCCCTGCTCACGCACCGTCTCTCTCAAAACAAACTTTAAAAAAAAAGAAGAAAATAAAGACACATAGCTGTAGAAAATATTTAATAAAAAATATGCTAAGTGAAGAGAGCAGCTTACACGGCATTGTTTACAAAATGATCTTAATTTTAGAAGCGTATGTGTGTAGAAAAAGTTCTAGAAAAAATGCACCAAAACACTGGCAACGCTATTATTATCTCTCTGACAGCTGTTGCCTGGGCCCCTCCCTCCTCTGCGCTGATTCTGGGCCGAGCGTGGGGTGGCGAGGCCTGGCCCACGGCTCCTCCTGTACACATTTCTTGGAGCGCCCTGAGTTTCTGTGTTGAACACCCGTGTTTTTTGTGCCCAGCCCAGAATTCGCTGCCCTTCTGCTGAAAGCACCCATTCCCTGCAGCCCGGTGGTGACGGCCGCATGGT